GGGGATATTTTCTATTATGGTATATTCCTTCCTAAATTTTATTTGAATTTCCTAATTTTGATTGGGTATGATGAGGTAGGAAAGGGTAATAAGGTAAATCATCTTTCGCTTATGAGTTGTGGAAATCAATGAGACATTGAAGGTAACTAGAGGGAGTTGGCATCAAGATTCAAGATTCAAGATAAAACCAAAAATCGAGAATCGAGAATCACTAAAAAAGCTATTAAAATAAATGTTATTTTGTGATCTGAAAAATAATTTAAGCCCTTTGCTTCCACAATATATTTTTTACTGAATTTTTTGATTGCCTTAAATAAGGTCGCGGAAGTTTCTAGTTCAACCTAAAATTTGAGCATAAGTGATTTCTATAAGCTTTTGTGATCTCGGAGAAAAATTAAATTTATAATGAATTTTATTAGCAAGTCAATTATGGTTTTTTGTTAACTTTTCAGTTATTCTCTCCAGATTATTCCATTTCCATTTCTATTTGTTATTTTTATTTTGACGTTATTTGAGCAAACCTTAATTTTATAAAAAATAAAATTTAATTTAAATTTATTATACTTAGGTGAAGCATAATTAAAACTTATGCCAAAATTTTTGCAATCGTTTTTTGATTATAAAATATATTAATTATATACTAGCTTCTAAAACATTGGCGGCTAATTTTTTTTTCTATGAAAATCGATGTTTTTAAAAATAATTAAAATTAAAATGACCATGAATTAATATTGACTGCTAAAAATATTAATTATATACTCTCTTATAATTGGGGGCTAGTAAAACAATTTTTTATTTTTGGAACTTTAAATATATATACAAAATAATTGATGTAGATATTAAAACTCAAAAACATTTAGTAAAAGTTAAATCCTCAAAATAAAATGAAAAGAAAGAAAGAAAGCACATCAAAAAAGTAAAAAAATTCGGGAAATGATGAGCCAATATTCGGGGTAGGTTGGGGCAATCCATGGGGCCTAAAAAATTTTTTGTAGAATCTTCTCATATAAATAAATTATATATTATTTATATAATAAAAATTGGTTAATTTTATGTAAAAATATTATTTTTAAAAAATATTCAAAATCAAAATTTCTTAGTCATATTGTAAATATGTGAATGGCTGATAGTTACACATTTTTTGGCAAAAAAATTAATTATTAGAGTTCAATCTGAAAGAAAATTTGAGTCATCGAAGAACCCTGGTTTCCATTAAAATTAATTTAATAAAGATTTAATGATATCATAATAAATAGCCAGTTTCTCGTAAGAATTCGTAATAATAGAGACCTTCAGGCCCTAGCCCTAAGCCCGACCCGGATTGGGTACAAGGACCGGGCCGTAGTTTAATTTAAATATATCCGATCCGGGCCTAAAATTCGGGAGAGGCCGGATAATTTAAACCAAATATTTTCATGGCCATATTATCTATAAAAAAAAAAAGAAGAGAAGAGAAGAAGAGAAGAGAAGAGAAGAAGAAGAGAGAGAAGAGAAGAGAAGAGAAAAAGAAAAGAAAAGTCGGGCGGGCCGGAAAATATAAAACCCGGGCCGGGCCGTGTAAATGTTACTACTTGCAGGTCTCTGGTATATATAATAAAACGAGGGGTTATATATAGACAATAATAATTTTTTACATATTCCTATACATTTTAAAATAGAACAATCTTTCACAAAATATGGATGTAGAGGACCAATGCCCAGTTTAAAGAAAGGGACAGCTTTATAAGACCTGAGGCTACAAGTCCCTCTCCTGCCATATCGCTTCCATTTTTTAAAGGTTTTTATTTTAAAATGTAAACATTATCACATGCTCGCAGTATATAAAAAAAAATCCAAAGTGAGGATGGCTAGGCAAATTCTCTATACAAACTGTATACTAAGCGGACACTCGCTAACTGTGTGCAATAAAGTTATAATTTTTTTATATTAAAAATAAGACATTTTTGCGTCAAATTCGTAAAAATTGATATGCCATTTTACCCCGGGTCGTTCTTAAATTTCAAAATGTATTCATTTTCATTAATTCTTGAATAGGGACGTAACTGAGATTAAGAATTAGTTATGGTTTTTTTGTTTTGTAGTTTGATGAAATAGGCTATTCAATGATGCAATTATTACTAACCCATGTATATATATAAATATAAAATTGATTGCCCTCCTAGAGTTTCCTAATAATTATAATTAATGTTGACTTGACCATATTATAGAACTTAGACATGAGTATATTTAATCAATAATTATCTAATTAGTTTATATGACGTTGCATAGTAATTAGTGGGAGAATCATAACATGATCTTAAAATATATAAAGTAGCATAAAATAATATGACTAAATAAAGAAAAATCAGTATATTCAAAATCTTTCTCTATGCGCTTCCAAAATAAATCGGGACAGCGAAATAATTTGAGATTCGAATACAAATAACTGTTCTTCAGTAGCAAGGCAATACTAGAACCTTTCAGACCTTCAAAGTCATCGCTCTGAGTTTTATAAAAGGTTTGAACAATCAGATCTCAATAAAAAACTGACGATTTTAGGACAAAAAATCAAGTGATTATTTTTTTTTAGTTTGCATATAGGTACTTTCGTATTAGTACAGTCACACTGACGACAATCATAAAGTATATCATTATTTTGGAGATATTTGTATTTTTAAAATTATATTTAATTAATGGGCTATTTGTGCTATGCATATTGTAACAATTTCATTCTTTGAATAATTTGATATAAACAACTCCAATTTTTTAAAATGTGATTAGCATATGTTTCATTCAGGTCATTTTTGTTTTTTTGTAAAGAAAGAAAGAAAAGAAAAGAAAAGAAAAGAAAAGGAAAAGGAAAGGAAAGGAAAGGAAAGGAAAGGAAAGGAAAGGAAAGGAAAGGAAGGAAAGGAAGGAAAGGAAAGGAAGGAAAGGAAGGAAAGGAAAGGAAAGGAAAGGAAAGGAAAGGAAAGGAAAGGAAAGGAAAGGAAAGGAAAGGAAAGGAAGGAGGAAAGAAAGAGAGAAAGAAATTCTTATACTAAAATTCAAGATACAAGTTCATAACTAGAAATTTTCACCCTGGAGGCACTGGATTTCTGCTATCTATTACTGATTAGTTAAAAAGCAAATGATATTCTTGATGCGTAATGTTTAACTTGTGATGTAGAGCAAGCAACTTAGAATATTAGTTGGGTTTATATATTATTTTATGTATGGAAATATGAAATGAACTAAATGACCGAATTGGGTATAGTAAACATACACAGAAAAATTAATTCGATATATTATAAAATTAATAAAACGGGATATATAAATTATATGTAGTTTTGGTAAATAGCAAGATCATTTGCCGGAATCTGATTCAACAGAATATGTTTTTCCAGTGTGGAGAATAGGAATTTCAGACAATTTGAAGCCATTTTTAATTTACTGGCAATATGGGAATTGAATAAGATATTAAAAAGTCAATATCGTATAACTTGATCATGCGAATTGACGATATAATATTTATACATCAAGGTGTTATATTTTCAATTTTAAATCATTTATTGTACTCACTATTTTAGATAAAATTCTGATTATACCTGAAACATATTCAAGCATGTTTATACCTACCAAATAAATATTGGGAAATTCTGCCAAGAAATTTTGCCCATAATATGTAATACAAAAAAAAATTTCTAAATTTCTGTTTTCAAACGGCTCAGAATTTTTTTTAATGAATTTGACATTTTTATTGTAGAAATGCAGCCTATCATATTAAATTCAGAAATTACTGTAAAATGGTTCAACCTATAAGTAATTTGTTTATATTTCGTCAGTATCGCTAGCTCACCGTTTCGTTTTCGTTCAAATAAAAAGGATTTTGTAAATTGTCACTAAAATTTCTAGGCGCCCTAAGGGGAACCAAAATTAGATTATTCTTGGGGCAGCTAAATTTTATTTGCATAAATATTATATAAATTAACCTAAATATTATCTAATTAGCTGCTTATACACGAATCCAATTTTTAAAAAATGACAAACCTAGTTTGACAAGCTTAGGTTTAATTTGGAAGATTTTAAAGGGCTAATAAAATTTTCGCCCAGGGACATAACACTACCCTGAATAGCTCCTAGAAACTTTTGAGAGCCTTCTAAAAAACTATCAATGAAAATTTTAAGGTAATTAGTTATTTTGGTGGAGTGTAGATAGAACTATATAAAATATTGATATCAATCTGGTTGAAAAAACTCCAAGGCATGGGTCAGTCAAAGCGGGCTTGCCACTGTCTTTTTCATATTAATTACCTTTTGGAATCAAATATTTTAGGGATAACTTTCAATTAACCTATTAGCAATAGCATGTTGCGATGCCTTTTGGAATCAAATATTTTAGGGATAACTTTCAATTAACCTATTAGCAATAGCATGTTGCGATGCCTTTTGGAATCAAATATTTTAGGGATAACTTTCAATTAACCTATTAGCAATAGCATGTTGCGATGAGTAACCAATTTTTTTATATAAGCTTAGTCGCTCAACATTAAAAAAAAAGAAGTTTAATATTATTTATAATTATGAAATGTCAATCTAAAAATAAAAAAAACACAGAATAAAAAATAAACTGTCAATCATATTTTTTTTTTAAAAAAAATATAAAATTTATAATTTCTTATTTATATTTATTATTGATAAAATAAAAATATATTTTTTTTTCCAAATTTTTTTAAAAATATTCTTGTAAATTTTGTTTTATAAAAATAAAATTATCTATAAAAATGTTATAATTAAAAAAAAAATTTATTTTAGTTAATATTTTTATTAATCATTTTTCGATCATAAAAAAAACTTAAATAAATAATTTTTGCTATTTTATTTTAGTATAATACTAAATATCTTAATAAAATAAAATAAAATAAAATAAAAAATACTACATTATAGATTATCATGATAAAATAAAATTAAAATCTTTTTATTATATAAAAATTTAATTAGCTTAGATTTATTATTTAGAGTTTGTTACAAATCAAAAATAGTAGTAAAATGTAATTAAATACCATGAAAATTTAACAAGCAAAAATTGCATGATATTCATTAAAATAAATAAATAAATAATAAATCATATGTGATCCCAATAAATCTATTTTTAAACCCTTCAAAAAAAAGTGAACATATTTTTTTATGATTTACACCGCGGATGTTTTGATTCGTAGATTTAAAGCATCACCCAATCGCGCTACCGCCAGCGTTAAAGGTCAATGGTCACCAAACACTGGCCATCACAGCTATACAATGATTACCGATCTTTCGACGTGCTTCCAGTAGAGACATCACCCGTAATAAATAATCAAATGAACGTTCACTCAGATCCCCAGTATTATTTCGAACCAAATCTCTTATCTCACAGTAACCCAAATTTAGGAGGCCCCGGTCTGGCCGAAGGTACCAGCGACCGCGAAAAATATAAGGCCCATAATAAACGGGGTAATAATGAAGGAGGCGTTCATAACAATGGAGATGATGACCATGTGAGGAGCCCCGCTGTCAATACGCAACCGCTCTTTTTTGTTTGCGATGATACATCATCATTTAGTCAAAAAATTTGTAGAAACCAACCATCGATGAACGTAGAATCCATCAACTCGATTAACGTCAAAAAAGAAATGACAGGCATAGACAGCGACGACTTCAATAACTTTTACCAAGACTTTGGGCGGAATAATCAAAATCAATTAATGCATCAAGGTAACAACATTTCCTCTATTTCGATCGATAGAACAATCGATTCTTCTACGAGCCCTATGGCCTTTATAACAACTTGTGTTACTGTATGCGATAATTCGTTAATTGACACGGCTCCTTGCTTGTATCCTTATTCGGCCCTCTACCCATACCCGTATTCACTCCTGCAAAACCCATCATCCAAGATTCACAGTATTAACCCTTTATATTCATCTTCCTCTTCTTATTCGGCATCATTGGACTATACTCAACCTAAGAGCAAATTCAGCGACATTACAACTATCCACCATAAACAACCGAGGTCTATCGGTGAAATAAAGCCAGAATCACAATCTGATTCGCCTTACAATATCCCTAACGCGAAATCGCTGTCATCTGACTTGCCACCCGCTTACAATAAGTACAACAACGATATACAGGAATACTGTTCTTCAAGGTTCCAAAATACCCAGGATCCATCGATACACCATCATATCTTGCACTACAAGAATCAAAACGAGTACCATCCCCTTTATGCTCCCTCTTCCAACAATCGCACCAATGACCCATACCATTTAGCCAACGCTAGAATGGCACACTATAACCATCACAGAGTTAATAGTCAAGCTTCGCCATATTATCTGAGCGGTTTGAATTCCAACGATTGCCCGACCCATCACCACGTCAATTTTGGCAATTTTTTTTACAACAATTATCCACCGTCGCCTCATCACGCCCCTTCTAGGTACAATAATAACACCTGGCCCTACCCAACTCAAATGACTCAAGAGCCTTCTCATTTGCCTACATTGCATCACCACCATCACCCCAACCCTTATTACATGCCTTCCAACAATCAATGCCTCAACGAAAATTCGGCCGAACCTTCTTATAATTTAAATTCTTCTAACATAATTCTTCACCCTGTACAAAATCACGAGGGCCCATTTTCCAATAATAACGTCAGTAACATATACGGCAGTGGTCGCGATAACGACCTACCATTACCCTTCCATCCGGATAACAAAGTGGGCGAAGAAGAAGGAGGGTTGGAGGCCTCCCCTGACTCTTCTCACCTATCCTCCGCCTCCGCTTTACATCAAAAGGTGCCCCCTTACTGTATTGACGGCGAATTAACTTATTACCAAAGACGCGATGACAGAGGAGGGTGTCACAATTTAACCTCCCTAGATGATAACTGTGATCCAACTAATAAACCCGTGACCCGATGCGTAAAGGAAGACCCACTCAAGGGAACTATTAAAATCAAATCTTCCCCAGTGGTTTACACCGAATACTCTAATTACGGGAATTACATTAGTAATGATGGTAAGAGACATCGGAACAATATGTTACTGTTTCAGTCAACGAGAGACGACGGAGAAGATGAAAATAACCAAAATTTGCCTCATTCCGAATTTCGATCGGCTACCGGTATCAATGACGATAGTTATAACGAAGCCGGTAACGCTTCCCAATCTTCTTGCAATTCTCCGGGTAATTCCCATTTATATGTTAATAATATATCGGATAATTCTTATATATATAACGACCCGGCCCGGATTTTTAAAAAATATATTATATTTATTTTTGATTTTTATAGCTAATAATTGCGATTTCAAATATTTGGCTTTAGGGTTTAGAGCCAGGCCTGCAGGCCTCTGATATATATACCTAAAATGCATATTTATACCACCCCCCCCCCATCCTTTGCCAGTATTTTGCTAAGTTAGCGTTTCCCTTCGTACATTTTATTTAATGCAAGACATTTAAGCATTTAACTTATTTCTCTTTTAAAAGATCTTTTAATAACTGACAATATTTTATATATTTTATGGAAAGTAAGTAGTATAATGTTGTTTAAAAAGCCCACTTTGGATCGATTTTTTTAAAAATGCACCGATTTTGATTTAGCCTAAATAATATTGTGGGAGCCCTCGAGATTTGTTAAATATGACTTACATGATGTTATTTTAGTTAGCTAAAAATCCTTTTAATCGGAGCGTTTTTTTTAAAGAATGACACAAAATCTGGCCTTTTTAACCAACACTAGTGTGAAAAGAGGGAGGGGGGAGGGTAATTTTAATTGGCCTAAAATGGTATATCAAAGAAAACAACCCCTATGAAATAACTTATATGTTTACGAGTATAATTTTTTGCAATTCCAATTTTTCTTTGTCTTAACTCGACCTTGGATTAATTTTAATTTTTTTTTATAAACCAACACAAATTCATGACTTTTTTAAATTAAAAATAATATAATAGGCAATTCAAAATTAATTTTGTTGTTAAAAAAAATATCAAAGATAAACTAAACCTTTAACAAACCGTAATTTTTTAAAGAATAAAAATATAAATTTTTTCTCATAATCTCATTATTAATTAACTTAAAATGTTTGTATGATTTACAGGTATATATATTAATTTTTTTAAGTACGTTAGCCAAATTGTCCTGCTTATTTTCTCATTTTCATTTTTATAAAAATAGGATATAAAAATTGTTATTTTTTTCTTAAATTAGTTAGTTTTCTTTATTTTAAATTTATTTTCTTCATTTCATTTCTTTTCTTTTTTTTTTAAATTTCAATTACTTACCATTTGTAATTTTATTTGTTTTTTTCTTTTATGAAGTTTTTCAATTTTCTTTTTTACTTTTTGAATTAAAAAAAATATATATTTAATTTAATCGATAATTTCCTTTTATAAAATTTTATTTTTTTTAAATATAAATATATATAATATTAATAAAAATAATACATTTTTTTATTTTAATAATTCCATAAGAAAAAAAATAATAATGTAATTTTTTAAACAAAGAAAAAACGAAAAAATTATAAAAAAAAAATTTTTTTGGTTTATTTTTCCACAAAACGGGGTGTTTTATTTTAAGAATTTTTTTTTGGAAAAGATGCGATTTATATAAGAATTTTTACCTCATTATTAGTCTATTTTGAAATGGAATTTTGAGAACATAGGACTAACAGCAAATAAATGAGTGTGATTGAATAATCCATATCTTCCCTCAGAATAGAATGGATAATAAATTTTGGATGATATAGTAAATTTTCCATTTGTATATTTAGAAAAATAACTTGAAAAATATTTTCTTAAATATTGACAGGTAATTTTTGTTTTTTAATATTTGAAATTAAATTAAAGAAATCTAAAAAAATATAAAAATATCTTGGGAAAAAGTTACAAAAATGAAAAATAAATATAAAATATATATATATAAATTTTTTTTATAAAAGATATATATATTAAATTTAATAGATTTTTGTTGATATGTAAAATTCATATAATTTTTGATAATAAAATTTTTATATATTTTTTTTATAACATTTTTTATTATTTTATTAATGTTATAAAAAAAAGATATTCAGTATTTATAGCTCTAGCAGCAATAGTAGTATAGTAGTAATAGTAGCAGTCATATTCATAGTAGTAAAAAAAGATATATAAAAATATAAAAATAAAGAATACTAATAAAATATATTTAAATACACCTCTAAAATTTAATTTTAATGATTTTTGAAACATTTTTTTTTTGGAACATGTATTATTTTATATTATTATAATTATATTTACCATTTATACTATATTACAAGTGATGATAATCGTTAAAAAAAAAATTTTTTTAATACTTTTTTTTGCAATTAAAAATGTTTATTTAAAAAAAATTTTTATTATGAAAATTAAAAATTTATATTATATTATCATCTTTCTTTCAATAGCTACATCATAAAATATATTTAAAAAAAATTATTGCTTTTTCTTTATCCTCAAAAACAATATTCCCATATTTGATTCCTTGATTCTAAAACCCCATTCCATTGTACCCCATCTCAGATTCTTTCTAAAGGTTTCACAAATCATCATAAAATATAAAATATCCTCAAAAAAATATTCCCAGATTTTATTCCTTGCTAAAAGCCCCATTCCATTGTACCCCATCTTAGATTCTTTCTAAAGGTTTCAAAATTTGTTACAAAGATGTCATAAAAAATGACCATTTTAAACTTTTATTTTTACTAACAGTTTTATTTTATTTTTTTATTTGAAAATAAATAAAAAAGATATAAAAATTAATATATTTTTTTTTTGTAATTATTTTATATATTATAATTATTTTATTAAATTCAATCTTTGTAAAAATTAAATATCCAGAAAATTTGAATAATGTTATATTTTAAATTAAATAATAATAATAAGGGAGAATTTTGATGATTTAAATCAAAATCAATGGCAAAATTCAATAATCTTGCAATTAAAATTATAAAATATATATAAATATTTTCCTGCAATTTTAAATATTGTATGTTTTACTTTTACACGAGTAAATAAATAATAACTTGTCATTTTATAATAAAATGTCTTCTTAAGAATCGTTAAAAAAGTAAAGAGTGATTATTGATTGTGGTCACCTCAAAATGGGTATTTATCTCATAACTAGAGTTGTAAATTTCCCCGAGAAACTATAAATGAGGGAAATTTGTGGAAAATAGGAAAAAAAATGGGAAATTTCCGTAAGAAAAAAATTTTTTTTTACAATATTGATTTTTTTAAACAATATTATGATATAATATCAATTATTTAATTTGTTTCAGACTCTCTAAAATCGATGAGCCATTTGTAATTTGTCTCGCAATGTCTCCAGAAAATCGGCTTATTAACATCTAATTCTTTATCAAAATTCTTTGTCTTTAAAAATTTTAAATATATGACCAGGATAATGTTATGTCCTAGCGTCAAAAAATTTTCCTTTATATATATTGCTCGATCTATATAATTTCGTTACGGGAGAGATTTTTCTGATGTGAATAAATAGGAGAATGCATATGTTTAATTTTTCCGCTTCCACTAACGTCTTTTCGTGTAAAAATGACTTTATAAAATTGCATAGTTGCGCAAATATCATTTAAAAAAACTATTTCATTACCTAGAAGATTAAATCTATAATATTTTTTTTAAAGATACTTATTGATTATCAAAAACTATACTGTCCAACGAGTTGGGCTAAGAAATCTTTAATGAAATCTTTTAAGTATTTGTTTTTAAATATGTAAAAGAATGATGAATTTTACATATTTTTTTTATAATACTTTATGCGCTTTCTCAAATTTAAGTTAACAATATTTTATCTGTTAGGTCCTTTAACAATAAATTAAGTCTACGAGATACAGACCCTAATTCAATTAATTGGATATTTATTTCTCAAAAAGGAATTATAATGTTATTTTTATGTTTCCTATTTCTTCTACTTTAATAAATTTACTAGACATATATTTTTTGTATGCATATTGGTTCCTATTGCAAGGTAAGGGGGGGGGGACTTGATTCCATAATATTTTGATAATATATATACGAATTATATTATTTATTTTCTTTAAAATTCAATAATAATGTTGTATACATACATAATACAGGCATATATATATACTTGGCCAAATAAATTACAGTGTTGTGATGATTTAATGAAACGATTGACGATATAATTAAAACACATGCATATATAATTATAATCTTTACAAATGTACAACAAAAGAAATAATAAAAGAAATTTCAATTATGCTTTGTCTATATTTTAATTATTTTTGCAAATATTATCATTTTATATGAATGGGTTTGAATTTAATCGTCAATATGTTTCATTAAATCATCAAAACACGGTAATCGGTATAATATGTTAAATTGACGTCTCAAAATAAAAAACATTTAAATGGACATGTAAAGTCAAAATATAATATGAAATTATTAGACAGTAAAAAAAAATAAAGATTTACAATATCAATTGAAAATAACAATATATTATTTTTACAATAATATAACAGTTCCCTGTCAACTCTTATATTTGTCTGCCCATCATTTTACTTAAATTTAGGTGACTATATTTTTTAATCCTTTCATATTCACTGTTTAAAATTTTTTTTTACTGGGTAAATATTTTTAGAACATTTATGCAGTTTTTTTAAAGATTAAAATAATTTACACGTTATACATTTTATGGAAAATGAATGGTAAATTTAACATAAAAATGCCTGCTGCGAAATTATTAATTATATTTCGTAAATTTATTTTTTGAAGTCATTATTAGTTGAAATTAAAATTAGAAGAGAAAGTTGGGCTATCCTATATCTGTAACCCCTTCAATCCTTATCCTTATTTCAGTAATTATTAAAAAATAAAATAAAAAATTCTCTTCCTAAGATCATTACTCTATTTGAATTAAGCTATGATTATATTCAAAGATTAACCTATATCAAAAATAAAACTCAACCTTGATTTATATGTATGAACCAAATAGGATAAAAAAATATTTTTCTAAAAATACTATTAAAAAAATCTACATAATATTTGATCAAAAAAAGAACATAAAATTAAAATTGGGGAAACTATAGGGAGGAAATTACCGATTTTTGGAACTTAGACATATATTTTAAATATACTGAGACGCCGATATATTTAAAACTAGAGTTGTTAAACGGCTCGTTTTGAGC